TCTGTGCTCGCACAAACAAGTGACTCGTTCTCAACCATAATTTTTGATTCATAACTGCCATCAATGGTGGTCGAAGGCGATTTGCGGAATTCATTTTCATTTGGGCATGTGACGGGGTCGGATTCAGGCCCCCGAGGCCCGCATCCTATCAATGCGTGGGATCGAAGAAGAAGCCCTCGTCAGTGTCTCGTTTGGATAATGAAACGAGGATATGCCCGAGGGCATCCCCGACTTCTGCGACGCAACCACTTATTCTTCCTCGTCAGAGAATGTCAGGTCCGGCATATAGTAACGAATTCATCACGAAATGGGCCAAGCACAAGTTGCGGAATCATCATCAAACTCGGCTTTGATCAATTATTCATTATTATTATTATTATCTTCCTCCCATTGTATAAGAGCGTATTTGTGAACATCTGAATTTTTGAGACAAAAATTTTGAGAAAAGTCTATCCCCGCTGAGGATGTTCGGCCATCTGTGGCAGAAACGTGCTTGTATTTTATTTAAAAACACAAGCGAAAATTGGAAATTTTTTATCAATACCGTACTTGCTCAAGTACCTCGCAATTTTTTCAAAGGAAAAAATGGGGCTCGCCTCATGCATGGTGAGATCAAGGAGCATAAAAGAAATAAATAAAAACACAGGCAATCAGCCAATTGAGGCCAAGAACACATATTCAATGGGTTGCCTTGAATATATGTTCCTATTTATAATGAATTTTATTGAAAGTTTTCAACAGAGTCAAATAATATTAAGAATCCAAGAAATTTTTTATATAAGAATCCAAGAGTCCTCATGTCGCGTCAGTGTCCCTATGTTGGGCCTTTTTTACGATTTTTTAATTGAAAAATAAGTATCCCTATGTCAAATTGTCCCCATGTCGAGGTTTCCGCATGTGATGGGGGTCTCACTGTATTGTGGTTTTATTCTCAAAAATGGGCTGCGAAAATTGGAATTCTATTGGGTTATTGCATTTCTTTTTGCTTCACGTTTTTCATATCTCAGTTTGATTTTAGCCGAAATATTAACTTTTATTTTTACTAGTCCCTAGGAAAGCAATTTCTAAAAAACTTCACTTTCAAGTGTGACGCGCATTAGAATTGCACAAAATTAGCAGAACAATATAAACTTGGGTATGGCGGGGAAACTCAACTTTTTGAGCTTAATTTCGATTAAAAAAAAAAAGGTGCGGTGGTAGTTCAGTACTGTATAGTACTTCGATAAGACCCCCCTCCTCCTCCTCCATAAATTGAAAGAATTCAGCGTGTAATTATGAGGCACCTGTTCGTGGCATTGAATTTATTCCGAATCAGAGCAATTTCTTGATTCTGTTCATGCTTCAGTTACCAGCCTAATTACACCGAGCTCTTTCGAAAAGAGCCAGTGTTCAAAATTTTGCACATATATTGAATCGAGGCTTTAATCTGAATTCTAAATAATTCTTTATTTTAAAAAATTGGTTTGGCCTGGATGAATATTTGAATATGAATATTTTCTAATTGATCTATAAAGATGCGATTCCATGCAGTACTTTTCTATCCAATTTTTGATACGAAGAAGGGGCTTTTAATGCTCGAGTCCAAGTGAGATGCATTTCTTGGTCATAACTTTTAAAATACTTTATAAAAATGTGAACCTTGCAGATCACTAGAACTGATTGAATATTGCCAAAGAGCTTTCTGTTTATACTAATGTTCACATTCCTGAATGTTTGGTGCTCGTATGAAAATACTTCGTTCGTGGCGTATATTCTGACTTAACCACCGCATTGCGTGTCATCCTATACGACGTTTATTTCGCAGTCTCAGAACCTATTGATCAAGCAAAATCAAAAGAAGACCCTATGTGTTTCATCCGCGATTCGTGTTTCCAAAAAAATTTAAAAAAAAAATTGTGAACTCAATCCTGATCTGATGATCCAACCTTTCACTGGCTTCAATAAAGCTATCTAGATAAATTCAGCAAGGGACCCGGGATTAATACATTCCGTGCTTCTTCCTTGAGTTTTTCTCTAAATCTTCTTCTGCAAAGGAATTCCTCGATTAAATGATGAAAATTTTACAGAATAAATTTATGAGCATGCGGAAAATATTTTCTAACCTCGTGTATACTGATATATTCCATATGTCCAGCATGATAAATACGATGCAAATAAACCTATTTGTCCAGCATAAATAAAGAAACGGAAAAAATTCTACCGCAATGACAGGCAGTTTGAAATTTCACTTTTTGCCTTAAAAGTCGGATTTTTCTGTCTGGAATGACAGACATATGTCGCCTAAATTCTTCAGTATGGCCGAGAATTCATTCTGAAGTTTCAAAAACCCCATATTTTTTTCTTGAATCACCCTTCATTAATTAAACTCTTATTTACAATGGATGGTAATGATGAAAACTAAAATTGTATTCGGCCCCAAATTTACCAGCAGCCAGATTAACTTATCCTAATGGAATGTTACTCACCCTGAACAGCATTACTTCCTTAATTCTAAATCTTCTGAAAGTTTTGAATTTTCAAAAGTTTGAGAGAATCGGCAGCGAATGATCCTGCTGAGAAGAATTCTTTTTTTTTATATCTTTCCTTCGCTTTACTCTTTGCAACATCTATTGCCAGCAATCGAGGACATAGATCATTCGAGAACAACGACAACAACAATCTCAGGATTCCAAAGTTCAAGTCCCGTATCAGCAGAGGAATCCGGGCATCAGTGCGCAGCAACGGAAACTGCTTGTGTAATACTATAGAAGAAAAACTTTTAAATCCGAAAAGAAGATTTATCCCTTTGCTGCTGGTGGACAGCAGCGAAAACGGATAGTTTTTCCCTCATGTGTGGTTTTCACGCGTGACAATCTCAGATATCTGTAGTAGTGCGAATCGATCCGAAAGGAGTCATTTCCTCTGAATGACGCAGAGAAAATAGATTTCCCTGCTGCTCTGTCGATCAAAGGCCTTTGATGTGTGCGTATAGCTTCCAAAGTGTGTCTTTGACTTTCCGGAAATTGCCACATAAAATAATAATGATAAAAAAATAAAAGAAACTTTTGTCCAAGAAGATGCCCCTTTTCTATCATATGTCGAGCCTTCAAAGACGAAGCGCTGTCGCATGCGTCGAACCCGCGAGTTCGCCTGCTGCCTTCTTCCAGATGCGAAAATACCCCTGAATTTCGAACCCCTCCTCCCCCGTTTCTATTTTCGCTGCTCTCATTAGGCGTGTTCTGGGCGTGGGTATTTCGTGTGATCTTGGACCACGGATTATCGTACCCCCGGCTTGACGGGAACATGCCTGGGAACATGCTCTGAAGTCGGCCACAAATTGCATCAGGGTCGTATCGCGTCGTTCTGTGCAACCCGGGGGGTTATTCCGGAAATTGGACCCCCTTATCGCAAACATTTGGCGGCTACTTCGATCAGTCTCTTCGGGAATCATTTGGTGATTGAACATCCGAATTTCCTGGCAATGAATGTCTTACTGGTGTTTTGAATCTCGCTGGAAATGTGCCACCGAGAATAAAACCGGCGCTTCTTTGCAAATTACGGCAGAAACCCGCGATTACGTGGGCGAATGGCAATCAAGGAGCCTTTGTCAGGATATAATCAATTGAGGTGTTGATTGCAGATTTTAAGCTGCATTAAAAATATTCCAGATGCAAGTGACATCTGAGTGCTGAGGCAGTTACCCAGCCTCCACGGGAATTTAATTTTTAAAATGCAAAACGACATTATGGCTGCAGAAAATAAGGGAAGCTGGAGCATCCTCACTCCTTGGATGTTGAAAGAGGACTTCTATTATTGTCTCTGATCACAGGTTTCATGAAGACAACAATCAAACACACAATCAGAAAATAGAATCTCGCATTGTGCACTAAAAACTCATTTTCAAAAAGAAATAAAATCAGCAAAGAAAAGATGATTCACCTATGGCGCAATTCCTGACGCGCAAGCTTCTAAAGCAAATAACTCAGCAAATATTACACTTACAAAATTCCACAACATCTTAAATTGAGGCTAAAGATGTTCTTCAACTTTTCTCTAATAATATAAAATTGTCCTGATTAAGAGCACTTGAGATATTCTCACTTTTCTAAACCTAACTCTTCTTTGGTGATAATAATCTGGAAAACCTTCATGCCAGATTCTAATCTCATTGATGCACAAGCTTTTGGTGCAAACAGTGAATTCAAAAGCCTTGTTTCTAAATTTACATGAATGAATTTATTTCTGCAACAGGTATTTAAAAAAAAGCAATTGGTGAACAACTTTCACAAATGAAACAGTTTACAATTTATATTCTGAAATTGTTTTTGGTCTTGGGTTAAGTTCATGGGATTATCGGACAATCAGAAGGAAAGACGCGTCTCGTGTTGAGGTAATTCTACTTGGCTGCTTCATTCCTCTTGAATAAATCAAAGTGTGGTAAAATTAATTGCATGTCCGTAAATCAAAGCCTGGACAATTTTAATTATTCTGATTTTATTTTTTCCCGAAAAAAATGAACGACTGCAATAAAACGTAAAAAGTTTTGTTTTCCGATGCAAAATATAAAAAAAAACTGTTGGTGCCCTAATTCATTCTTTTTTTTTGCGGTGCATTGATTAAATTTTTTGCTGGGCAGCTATGAAAAAATAAGGACGGTTCTCTTACGAAAAATCTTGAAGGCTCTTGCAACTGCAGATCAGGGGTAAAACAATTCAAGGGACTTGGGAAATTCGTCAAGAAAGTCTGAGGACATAGTTCATGGGAGATTTGTCTTTTCTTATAAAATCTTATATTTTTTTCGAGGCAAATACTTTTGCTCGTATTCTGGATATTTTAAAAAAATTAGCATTTTTTTCAAAGACAGCCATTTATTCGGATTTTATGAAATTACAGGATTGTGAAATGTATTTTTTTTAATCGGAACTTGATTAATCGTATCGCCGGTTCGAAAAAAATAATTGAAATGTCTCCTTTGATCTCATATATATCATTTTCGTCTTCTTTTTTTTGCAGAGAGATTCATGGCTATTTGCCAGCCTATGAACATCAAAACGGAAAATCGTGAAAAGTTGCTGAGGGCAGCTTGGGTCATCGGCTTGGTGTGGATTTTGTCTCTGGGTGCATCGGCTCCAGTTGCTTTCTTTCACGCTGTAAGTAGAAGCTGTTTTATTGATTTAAAATCCGGAAATTTTTTGCCAATGCTACCGATCAAGGCAGGCCTAGAGAAATGATTGAATAAAAATGTCAGGAAAAAATACTAACTTTTCCCCCCATGTTTATATTTCTTTTTACCTGGAGTTTCTGAATCTATTCAAACTATGACGAAACGGAAGTTAGGGATCGAAGTACAGTTTCTGTTTTTTAAAAAAATGACAGGTTTTCATGTTCTAATGGGAAATTCTCGTCTGCTTATTTACAAGATTTAAGACCAGTATTTACTCAAGCCGTGATGTAAAAAAATTATTCGAGCGCTGATTTTTGAAAACCTCGTAACCCAATTTTACACGTGATTAATTTAATCCTAATTTTAAACTAATGTTCGAGGCTGGACTATATCTAGAAGAGTGTTTGAAAATCATGCAGGCAACATTTCAACTAATTCATCCTATAGCATCAAGAAAACAATCCAAGGGTTTATCATTCAGCATCACATTTTGCGCTGAATTTCGAAAATTCTCCTACAGTAATCTACGTGTACACCGATTCATCCAGAAGATTATAACCGAATTTTAATCGTGTAGCATTTATATTTTGCGCTGAATTTTGAAATTGTTGCGGGGAATATGCCAGCTATTCACCACATCGTAGACGAAACAACGTTTCGTTTCCATCGTGTAGCAACGCATCTTGAGCCAAATTATGGAACATTTTCGGGGAATATTTCACCTTTTACACTTCGCCATAAAAAAAACCTTACTTTGATATTCGTGTAGCATCACATTTGTGCTGAATTTTGAAAAAAAAAAATCGGGAATATTTCAAAACTGCATCCCATCATCGAGGAAACAAATTAGGGAGTTGTTCACCCTGCTGCATTGCATTTTAAACCGAATTTGTAAAATAATTTCGGGAATATTTCGACTATACGCATCCCATCAACATGGAGAAAGCAACTTCAATCGCTTTTCATCGTGTATACAGCTTCAAATGTTTCACTGAATTTTGCCGACGATCAGATAAACACCATCAAGGACTACGAGGGCAACCCGATCCAGGAGTCGGCGTGGTGTAACCTGGCCTACGACAGGCCCAGCCAAACATGGCCCTCGCTGTTCCTCACCCTGACGTTGGTGTTCTTTGCGGTGCCCATCACGGTCTTATCAGTGCTTTACGGCGTCATAGGCTACGTGCTCTACAAGTCCTGTCAGCCGTTGGGTCAGACGGTGACCTACTGGCACGTCCCGAGGTCGGCTGCTGCTTCCACGGTGGCAGGCGGAACGACGCATCAGGTAATGATTCTTTCCCCGACGACTGTCTCGACGATATATACTGCGTGTGGCCTACATGCATGCAGAATAAATTCCAGAGCTGTTGTGTGATGCTCCACGGCACTGGGTGCTGGGCCGAAATAAATTATGGGCCAATTTTTTTTTTTTTTTCAAAAAGAAAGGTATGTTGGAAATGGAATTGGTTTGTAGATTTGTTTGACTTGGATCTTTTTTGATGATTTGGAATGAAATTCAAACAACAATTGGCTGGGGTGCTTGACACCCTAGTGTCAGGTTGATGTATTTTTGGATATTTTGATAGAGCGTAAGACAAAAGCAGTTTTTGCAAGCAGTCTTTTGCGCAAGACAACACAGAAGCAACTGATTTAATACAGAAGTAATTTGCTATGTATGTAATTTCCTTTCTATGGCAATTTTGTCCCTGAGCGTATTATCCTTCTAAAAGGATTTCCCCGAAAATTCAGAATCTTGTGGGAATCCAAGGTTGGGCTTGGTCCCATCAGATCCCCGACTTTCCCAAAGTTCCACCATTTTCCTGGTGCCACTCTAATCCCATATTTTTTTAAACTCTATTGCTTATTTCAATTTTCAACAAGGTATGAGGGTTGGTTCATGAGCCTTGAGAAAGCAGAGTTTCTATTTATTTTAAATGTCTCACATATAGCCCCATAATTTGGAAACATTCCAGTACAGCACTGCTATGTTCAACATACTCTCTGCCAATTTTAATGCATGTTTTTTTATGCGAGATAAATCCGATGATCCAGAAAGTTCCGAAAATCGAGTTCTTTTAGTTGATTAAGCTGCTCTTTGACGGCAGTAATGAGGCTGGCCCTGTCCTCGAAATCAATCCCTTTTAGGTTGTTCTTCCCTGTCGGGAACAGCTAATATAAGAGCCACGGGGTACCAAATCTGGTGATGAATAAGGGGGTGGCTTGAGGACTCGAATCCCAGATTTATTGGTGCTGAGGATCCCCTTTGATTTATTAGGCCAATTAGGGCCACCAACTCGTGGGCCACATCTTGCTCATCACTGGTTGAAATAATGGGACAGCCTTTACGTTGGGCATTGCTAACATGGACATTTATTTTGTTGAATTTGTTTTTTTTTTCATCTTTCAAAAGTCATGCAACCCGAAAATGTATCATTGAGGTGTGCTTTTTTCATTCATGAGAAATGCTATATTTTTGCCCTCAGACCACCTGCAATTTGTAGAGCATACAAGTGCACAGCTTCTCTTGTTCAAACTTAGCTTTTTGAACGAGTAGTGCAACAAAATAGCAGTAAAATAGCGTCAAACACAACATCCGATTGATTCAGTGCACTTCAGTGGAGGGCATTCCTTGTGAGGTATTTTTCTCATTCCCATCTATAGCTGGGTGGGCCACAAATTTATTAGACTCTGATAAAGGATTGAAGAGCGAAATAAAAACAATTTTGTCTGCCTCCAATGACAGCAAGTGACCAATTCTCAAGACTTATGAACCAATCCTTGCATACAGTGGTACCCCATATAGTACAATCCCCTCACAGAACCAATGTCCCCTAGAACAAACGTTTTTTTGGAGAGGATTGGGGGCGAAGTACTCTTGCAGAACAGACTAATTTTGTAGGAAGAAAATTTTGTTTCTGTCAAAAAAGCAGAAATAATTCAAAATTTATATTATAGCTAAAAAAAAAAAGAAAAATTGGCAAAAAATATTTGGTTGAGAAGACATTCAAGTGAAAATTGCAGGTTGAAATTTATTTAAAAGTTGCATCAAAGGGGATTTTACTCAAAACAAAAAGTTCTTCAATTAGGTCTTGAGTTAACCCTTGGGCAGATGAATCAGACATGTTTTTGTGCAAAATTTTGTTTCACCTTGAAGAGGTGAAGAAAAAAAATGACAACAGGGAGATCAAGGGCAAAGTCAGGAAAACTCCCTGCCTGCAGAAAAATTTCGTGAAAAAAAAAATGCTCAGCAGTCAAACAACAGGCTTTTCTTGGATTAATCCCAACCTTGCCTCAACCCACCTGGAAGGGTTTCACTGAAAATGCAGGAGGAATAATCTGGCTCCGTCCCGCAATGGGAAAGAACCCTCCATCATTTGAGATTTAAATTATTAGGGTGGGTAGACTGAAGGTTTCAAATTGTATTTTGAAGGGAGTTAGGCTCACAGCAAAAAGCCTTTGAAATACTATTTTGATTTGAGCATAACCCCAACAATTCAAATTTTAATATACAGTTTTAAAGAACCAATGCAATGCTTTAAAACATCAATCCGCAAGCTTTTGAACATTGCATCTCAGAAAGTCAAGCTTGAAGCAAAAATTCTGTGGAAATGTGTGTGCTTTGAGCATGATAAGGTGCATGGTTAATCAAGTAGGATTAGCCAGAAAACAGGTTATGCACAAGATTTTCTCATATTGAATGTAACACTTAGTTTCAATGCTTTTTTAGCTCAAGTACGAACAAGTGTTTTCAAAATTTGCTCCATTCCTTTGTAATAAGTATGTTTCGGAAAATCCCGCAGAGCTTGAGAACAATTTCGGATTAAGCCATTTTGTTATATCGAATGCTATATCCTTTTACACATTCGATAGGAGAGGGCCAACTTGGGCCACACGTTACAGTCCAGCAGTATCAGTAAAGCTCGAAATGACAAATCCCCGAGCCTTTCATGCCGAAAATGTCCCATTTTCCGCCTCATTTGGGAGATTTCACTTGGGAAAATTTCTTGCATGCTGAGAAAAATGGAAGATTTCCGTTGCTGGGGGTCATGTGATATTTCCGTATCACTCGTGTTTCGCAAGGTTTCACATTTCCCTCACATATACTGCGTGAAGATTTGCGCTGCTCGGGTTCCTAAAGCCGATGTCTTTCCAAATCATTATTCCGAAACCTGAGCTGACAAAGGAGAAATATTTAAACATAGTCGAAAAATTATCACATGCTCATTCTTTATATTTACAATAACCTCACGGTTTTTGATGGATCCTCTCGAAAGTGAAACATATATCAGTTCTATGCATCAGAGAAGTGTATTTAATCATATACTGTAGTGTTTGAATTTCGAAAACATCAAATCTCGTTTGATTTAAAAAAAAATTGAAACAGAGCCGTAGAACTGGAATTCCGCCAAGAGTTATTGAATTGAATTTTTTGAAAATATACCGATTCAAAAAGTTGATGACGAATTCAATTAGAATTCTGCGCCTATATCCACTTTTCAGTTTCATTTGCAAGATGTCACTGTTCGAAAATATTTTCACTTTCATCTTGTCATACGTGAATGACGATCTGATGGGAAAAAATACATGGTATGCGATAATAATAAGCCTGTATATCAATCCTATTTTAAAAGCAAATTTTGTTTCATCGCATGTCACCTGCTTTGCATGTAGAGGCGACATCTATGGGATGCCAGAGAATACTGTAGATACAAATCAGCGCGTGAAAGGAATCACAGTATTTGATCAACTCGAAACAAGGATGTCAACTGTTATAGCAGACGTTACACGTGGGTTCAACATACCTTTTATCTGAAAGCGTGGGTTTTGGAAGTATTTCCGAAATGATCAATCCACTGATGGGAGCACATTCAGGGCAACTTTTTCTTTTTTTGTGAACCATAATGGTTAGTTCGGGGGTAAAGCGGGATTTCAACTGTCACCTAATACGTTGATACGCTTATAGTGCGCCTCAGCGTGAGGATTTCTGGCCGGTCCATTCATTGCAGTAATCAAAACGGATCAGGAGTCCCTTCTTGTTCGCATTTGCTGAATGGTGCATTGCCTTTTTTTAATGATGAAAATCTTGGACGTGGTATTGAACTTAGACTTTAATTGGGACTGAAATAGGTTTGCTTCAATGACGCGGAAGAGGCGCCACGTCCGCCCCCACCGACACTCCCGGGCGACGACAGACTCAGGAAGCAGATTGAGGTCCAGTTCTATAGCTGGGTGGGCCACAAATTTATTAGACTCTGATAAAGGATTGAAGAGCGAAATAAAAACAATTTTGTCTGCCTCCAATGACAGCAAGTGACCAATTCTCAAGACTTATGAACCAATCCTTGGATACAGTGGTACCCCATATTGTACAATCCCCTCGATCACAGAAAAATGTTCCAGAGAACAAAGGTTTTTTTTGGGGGGGGGAGGGGCAGAACAAACAAATTTTGTAGTACAAAAATTTTAATTCTGTCAAAAAGCAGAAAAAATAAAAAAATTTCAAAATTTATATCATGGTTAAAAAACAGAAAAATTGGCAAAAAATGATACACAATAATTATTTGATTGAGAATACATTCAAGTGAAATTGCAGGTTGAAATTTATTTAAAAGTTGCATCTACGGGGATTTTACTCAAAACGAAAAGTTCCTCAATTAGGTTTTGAGTAAACCTTCGGGCGGATGAATCAGACATTTTTTTGAAAAATTTTGTTGCACCTTGGAGAGGTGAAAAAAAATCACAACAGGGGGATTGAGGGCAAAGTCAGGAAAATTACCTTTCTGCAGAAAATTTTTGTGGGGAAATAAAAAGCTCAGTCAAACAACAGGCTTTTCTTGGATTAATCCCAACCTTGCCTCAGCCCACCTGGAATGGTTTTTACTGAAAATGCTGGAGGAATGGAAGAGAACCCTCCATCATCCAAGGGTTAAATTATTAGGGAGGGTAGATTGAAGGTTTAAAATTGTATTTTGAAGGGAGTTAGGCTCACAGCAGCAAAAAGGTTTTGAAATATTATTTTGATTTGAGCATAACCCCAGCAATTCAAATTTCAATCTAAAGATTTAAAAAGCAAATCCAAATCTTTAAAGCATCAACCATAAGCTTTTGAACATTGCATCTCAGAAAGTCAAGCTTGAAGCAAAAATTTTGTTGAAATGTAAGTGCTTTGAGCATGATCCCCTACAATGTTTAAAAATTCTACAGGTTAAAAATTGGAACATTTTCAAAGCAAACATGCCATTTTAAAGGTTTTTTGCTGTGATCATAACCTCTTTGGAATAATTTATTCAAACTGATACTGTAATCTTTACTTTCTAAAACCTTGAGAGTAAAATTGTCTTCGAAATTGGGGTTTAATCTTGATTTCTTCAAAAAGTTGTCAAACATGTGGATTTGACTCAAATTATTTTTGAAAAGTGTGCTTTGCAGAGTTTAAAAAAATGACTTATGTGGGTTTATGCTCACTGCAGAATCTCCTTGACAATGTGTCTGCTTTTAGCATAAAGAAAATTATTTTGTTAGATTGCAATTTTAAGACATTCTGAGGGGTTTTGATCAAAGCAGACACATTTTCAAAGAATTTTTGTTTTGAGCATAAACTCCTCATCATTGCTGCTAAGGGGCTTATGATAAAGGCAGAGATTCTTTAAAAATATGTCCAGTTTGAGCATAGCCACCTAAGATTCAATGTTACAAAATTTCAAGTGTTTATGCTCAAAGGAGAAAATTTTTCAAAAAGATTTCGTCATGATCATAACCTCCTTAGTACCAATGCTAAGGGGGTTATGCTCAAAGCAAAAAATCCTTATAAATGTGTCTTCTTTGAGCATAACACCCTTGGATGCAATGCAGAGAAGATTTGGATAGATGTTTTAAAGCTGTGGATTGGTGTTTTAAGCCTTTGGTTTAAATATTGGTTTGTAGGGGTTATGCTCAAAGCGAAAAAATATTCAAAAACTTTTTGCTGCATGCATATCCCCTTTAAAAAAAATTTTAAACCTGCTATCTATACACTCTCTAAAAGTTCAAGTTAAAGCCTTTTGAGTTAAACCCTTTTAGATTCCACGTTTTAAAAAATCTCAACCTGCAGTTTCGGTTTGTATCCCAAAAACTCTTGTTGAACCCTTTGTAGAGTAGTGCTGTACAATATTTGAGAGAAAAACTGTTGTGCGTTCGAACCCCTTGTGTAAAAGGGGTTTTGCACAGTATTTCGTTTTGCGCTTTAATTTTTAGTGCGCGGTGTTTTGGGATTAGATTATAAAAATTCGCACAAATCATCGTCCGAAAAGCATTCTTTCAATATTAACATTATCTGTCACATTTTGAAATACGCTGGGATCTTGATCATCTGGGCAAGTGATTTTCGGGGCATTCTCTCGGACGATCATAATTAATTATTTGATGACATGAAGTTGATGAAGTACAGTAATTAACGCTAAAAAAACTGTAATCAACAAATTAGTGCATCAGATTCGTCAAAAATTTTCCATCATCATACTTGTGACACCAGATTATGGGATTCTGTTTTATAACATATTTCATGCTTTTAATCAAGTAGGAGTACGACTAGCCTGAAAACAGGTTATGCACAAGATTTTCTCATATTGAATTTTACGCTTAGTTTCAATGCTTTTTTAGTTCAAGTACGAAAAAACTGTTATCAAAATTTGCTCCATTCCTTTGCAATAAGTATGTTTCGGAAAATCCTGCAGAACTTGAGAAGAATTTAGGACTAAGTCATTTTGTTTAAATGCTATCCTACGCATTCCAGGAGACGAGGGCCAACTTGGGCCACACGTTACAGTCCAGTATCAGTAAAGCTCGAAATGACAAATCCCCGAGCCTTTCATGCCGAAAATGTCCCATTTTCCTCCTCATTTGGGAGATTTCACTTGGGAAAATTTCTTGCATGCTGAGAAAAATGGAAGATTTCCGTTGCTGGGGGTCATGTGATATTTCCGTATCACTCGTGTTTCGCAAGGTTTCACATTTCCCTCACATATACTGCGTGAAGATTTGCGCTGCTCGGGTTCCTAAAGTCGATGTCTTTCCAAATCATTATTCCGAAACCTGAGCTGACAAAGGAGAAATATTTAAACATAGTCGAAAAAATAAATTCTAACCAGAATCACATGCTCATTCTTTATATTTACAATATCCTCACGATTTTTGATGGATCCTCTCGAAAGCGAAACATAAATCAGTTCTATGCATCATAGAAGTGTGTTTAATCAGATAGTGTTTAAATTTCGAGAACGTCAAATCTCGTTTGATTTGTAAGCAATTTGAAACAGAGCCGTAACATTTGAATTCAGCCAAAGGATATTGATTTGAATTTTTTGAAAATATATCGATTCAAAAAGTTAATGAATTCAATTAAAAATTCTGCGCCTATCCACTTCTCAGTTTCAATCATTTGCAAGGTGTCACTCTTAGAAAATATTTTCACTTTCATCTTGTCATTCATGAATGACGTTCTGATTGGAAAAAATACATGGTACGCGATAATAATATGCCTGTATAACAATTTCTATTTTAAAAGCAAATTTTGTTTCATCGCATGTCACCTGCTTTGCATGTAGAGGCGACATCAATGGGATGCCAGAGAATACTGTAGATACAAATCAGCGCGTAAAAGGACTTACAGTACTGTATTTGATGAATTCGAAACAAGGATGTAAACTGTTATAGCAGACGACACACGTGGGTCCCACCTTTTACTTGAAAGCGTGGGTTTTGGAAGTATTCGAGAAATGATCAATCCACTGATGGGAGTACATTCAGGCCTATTTTTGCTTTCCTTTTTTATTGGGAACCATATTGGTTAGTTCGGGGGTAAAGCGGGATTTCAACTGTCACCTAATACGTTGATACGCTTAGCGCCTCAGCGTGAGGATTTCTGGCCGGTCCATTCATTGCAGTAATCAAAACGGATCACGAGTCCCTTCTTGTTCCCATTTGCTGAATGGCGCATTGCCTTTTTTTTTAATGATGAAAATCTTGGACATGGTATTGAACTTAGACTTTAATTGGGACTGAAATAGGTTTGCTTCAATGACGCGGAAGAGGCGCCACGTCCGCCCCCACCGACACTCCCGGGCGACGACAGACTCAGGAAGCAGATTGAGGTCCAGCGAGTGCGAATGCTGAGGCGGAAATCTGTCATCAAAATGCTGGGTGAGCCAAACGAGAGCCTTTCACATTCCTTTCAAGTTTTTTCGTGTTTTCTTTTTTTTTTCTTTGATGCTGAGAAAGAAAACTTCTATGTCGTATCGTGTCTGTGATACAAATAAGAAATGACTTCTATTCGGTTTCCTTTTGTCCTTTTATATACAGTATATACAATACTGCGCATTTTAAATATATCTCTGAATACAGCCACGTATCATCTCCTGTATGTAGAGATGTTCGCGATGTCTCGACGAATCCGTCTGTATTTTTGAAATGCAGTTTCATCTTTGTTTCGTATTTTCAATTGTTTCAATGGAGTATAGAAATATGTTCTTGGCGAACAGAGTTTAAGTTTAAAGAAATCCGTCTGTATTTTTAAAACGTATTCAAGTCTTTGTTCTGTATTTTAAAACTTTTTGATGTGGTGAAAAATTGTTTTTGCCGACCTGATAGTCGAAGATTGAAAATAACCTTCCGCGAAAGATAACTCGAGAAAAAGGTTGGAAATTGGTTCTATCAAGCTTTAAAATGTAAGCTTTTTGAAAAATCATCCGTCGGAACAGCGTTATTTTATCAAATTTAGCTCAAGATAATAACCGAGCCTTTTAGTAGGGCTTAAACCAATGCCTGAAATGGCTCCAGGACAATCAAGCGCGCGTCTCAAAATGGCGCGCGTCTCAAAAGAGCGCATCATATCACGAAAAGAGTTCGCCGATAGAATGATTAGTTCACAAGAAGAAAACTTGCATTCGAGAACATAAGGATTATTCAAGTACTTTTAAATCGTCAACATCGGGGATTGAAATGCTCTGAGAAATTCACTTCTTTCCATTCTTATCCCATTCATTCAGAAGTACTGTACGAGTAAATTCCGTCTTTAAAAAACTTTACGAAAACTGCATCAATGTGTAACGCTTGAAAATAATTTATAATAAAAGCTTTCTCGTGCCGTGGTTTTGGTTTTGCGCAAAATAAGTTTTTTGTGTGTTTTCAATCGCGTTTAAAACTCATTGCTTTATCTTGTTTGTATGAAGAGGATTTTTCCAACTTGGAAATTTTCTGTCGAATCTTGAAACATGCTTGAGTCTAGATCATATCAGGGTAACTAACTCAGGGGGACCTTCTCTCGAGCGGCGATATGAATTCATTCGTTTATGACATGACGTAATTAACACGAACGAAAATATTAACCATGTAATTAACGGATTTCTGCATGCGGAAAGTTTCAACAAAAATATCTGTTTTCATGAGAAGTCACGTTGGTGACAGGAAATACGATTTTAGATTTTCGTGTTTTCCATGTTTTTTTGTGCGTTGTTGATCAAGTTCCGGCGGATTAATCGAGCTACAAATAATTCAGAGGTATTCTGGAGTAGAAATGTGCGTACATGCAGCCTTTCACCGTGAACATTCGCAAGGAATTATCAGGAAATTCATGAGAAAGTCGTGACGCATTATTTAGCGAGTCGTTATCAACAGATTGTGTAAGGTAAAGGTACTTTTGCGTGAGCTGGAAACTTTAATTGTGACCGCCAGCAACTTCCGCGACTCCCGGCTCGTTTCCTGTTTACTGATTTCATCGTACAGTACTTTACGCGTAGAAAGTTTACACATGCTTTTCCTTCCCCTTTTCCTTATCATTCACAGTGCGACAGTTTTTTTTTTTTTCTTTGAAAAAATAAAATAAAACGGAATTTTCGGCTTGAGTCGTGGCTTTTTTCCGGGTGAGCACGCAAAGCATGGCGCAGCAAAACAGAGAGCATATATATACTCGCGCATGGCTAAGCAGAAACAATCCGAATCGCGTTCTGAACCCTGGGCCCATTTTCAAGGTAGCAAAGGAAAATACAAAGTCGCGTGCCAAAGCTTTCAGCAGGAATAGCTACATGCAAAAAAAAAAAAAAGGGATCACGTGCGATGGTTGTTTTTGCGGGGGTTTTCTTTATTACAGACTGGCGTCGAGAGACATTTTTTGTCGCGACCTTGTGCGAAGCAACGCTTTCAAAAAACAAAAAAAATACCCGTTTTAATTATGAATCTACAATGCCACATCGCGCGTTTTCAAAAATTATGACGATTCTAATTTAATTGTAAGAAGAGAACAATATAAACGGAAAATATTTGAATACATCAGGTTTAATGCCTTGAAAGTGCTCCTATAGTTATGGATGAAGTAAGTACTGTAGTTGCATGTATTACGCGTTTTTGGCAATCAAGACTTGATTGCGAAACATCATTATAGTTTTACAAAGTGTTTCCTAGAGGTATTTCACATTTGATGTGAGGTACAAAAAACTTTCAGTAAAACACGAAGTGAAACTTAGTTATTGAATGTTGTAATGTACTTCAGTTTCATAAATTGCGATGTAAATAAGTTATGTCCCTCAAAAAATCCCTCGTCATTTCGTTTAAAAAAAACAGTAATTGGTGGCGATTTTGAACTAATTTTCTTTCAGCTAGAATCTTTCCACAATAAAACTCGTCCTTTTCCTGATTATCTCATTTCTATTATAACTAATATCTCAACTAATATGACTCATTTGCCCAGCTTAAATATTTCTGCTCGCAAAAATATACACTGATTTCAATCGTTGTCCATGGATCGTCTCATTTTAAATTGAATGTATCTCTTATCCTCACAATGCTGTCTTGTCGAGTTTCAAATTTTCAAAACATAAATGGCAATCACGTCTTCGTTTTGGGGAACACAACACGCATGGCACGTCATCAAGGTACAGTATTTTTATGAGTCCTGCAAGTTTTTAATTGAAATGTAAACTTTTGTGGAAGGAAAATTGCTGTGAAATATACAGCAAGAAAATTAGCCCAATTTGTTATGGAGAAAAACATATAATTGAGAGTCCATGTGCAAAATATAATCGTTCCTAAATATAACTCACACCTGATGATCATACTGTCGGGGAGAAACAAGAAGAGGAAACCGATGAAGGTTTCCTTGTTCATCAGCTGAAAATGCATATCGCAATTAAAAAAAAAAAATTGGCCAATAAGAGGCCAGGAAATATGAAAAAATGTTCTGGAATTTTCTGTTCAGATCACCTAACCAGAAAATTCCAAGAAAATAATAACAATTCTCCTTATTTTGAATTTATAAGGAGTCTGTCCTGAACTCTTCAAGGACAATCTTCTTAATTCTTTTTCCTAAATTGAGCACAGCAAATCTCTGATTTTCATTTATGTGATCTGATCTTGTGATTCAAATCTGTTGTGGGAATTTATTTTGTTTGTTCTTTTGAATTTTTTATTTTATTCGACTTTGCTGAAAATGTTGAATAAACATTATTGAAAAACTAGATACATACAGTGAAACCCCAAGATACCGACATAATTGGTGCATCAAGAGAGTTCAGATGTCGGATTGTCCCTGAAGTGAGTCTCATTTTCCCTTAGACTTCAATGCTAATGCATTTAATTGGTTCTCCTTTCTGTCAAAAACTAGAAATAAGCCCTTGGAAGAATTTAATAAAAATTGTTTCTCTCAACTTAAAGTTGCAGAAAACAATAGTACAGATGAACAAATGAAGGTAGAATCTAATATTTTGGTATCAAAAGGAGATAAAAAAAGCAAAGAAAAAGTCTTGCGCTAGAGCATGCACAGATGATTTTTAAAAACTCTGAAAAAAGAAGCACAAAATCAGCTTGCTTTTGATTATGAATTAGAGTGAATTCATCATAAACAATTTATTGAATTTTTGTGAATATAAATAACTTGATTTCTTTACAATACAGTATATCAAAATAAAAACATGAAACTCGGAGAAAATTTCAAAAAAGCGTCCCTAATTCAAATCATTGTCCAGATGTTGGGCCTGATTTTCTGGTTTTCAAGTGTCCCTAAGTCAATTTGTCTGCATGTTGGGGTGTGTGCATATTATGGTGTCTCATACTACAGTATATATTTAAGGTGCGACTCCTTGAATATGTGTTCTGGGCCTCAAAAGGCTGATTGCCTCTGTTTTTATTTCTTTTGTGATCCTTGATCACACATAACTGCGGTCATGAACCTTGTGATCCCCGGAGGCTGAGTTGGTGCGTAAGTTAAGATACTTGACAAAGTACAGTAAACTAGCTCATAAACTGTTTCGTGGCTCCAGACGTTGTCAAATCTTACTTCATAACTGCGGTCATGAACCTTGTGATCCCCGGAGGCTGAGTTGGTGCGTAAGTTAAGATACTTGACAAAGTACAGTAAACTAGCTCATAAACTGTTTCGTGGCTCCAGACGTTGTCAAATCTTACTCCTGAAATGGAGAGTCGACCCGGGCTTTGGAAGGACCCATCGGTGATGACCTGACAGCCTGGAACAAGCACGGAAATGAAAGAGCTGCCCAGCAGCAATCGCCTTGGGGGCTACGGTTCCCTTAGGGAAATCGCGCCCTATGCACCGAAAACACTATGTAAGGGCGCCTTCTAACTATTTGCCTTCCTTATTCGCGTAAACGCTAAAGTTACTGTTATTAAAGGTAAGAGAGAGTGTAACCCTCCACCATTATCAATATTACACGTCCAACCCCGCAACTCTTGCTAGTCGATTTTAATCATAATGTTCGTGCTTTTTGCGAGGATTCGCAATGTTTCGTCTCAAACGATTGCCGCTGAATTTTACTCAATGATTTAAGAAATAATTACGAGAAAGAAAAAAACGGTGTGGGCTTTCGGAATTTTTTGAATAGAAATAGAAGTCTATGTTTGATTATCAATAGGCATTGCATATGACAGTTGAATCTTTCTCGAACAAGTTTTCACGCTCTTAAAGATAATTCTGCTTTGAAATGTCAGACAAAAGGTGCCACCAGCAGAACAATTATTTTTGAATAATTTAAATTCAAGTTAATTTTTTTTTCATCTTCATAAGCCAAGAAAACACATATTTTTGAAACGTAGCGAATAATAACAACGTTCTTTCGCAATTTCGAGTCGAATATTCACACAATATTGGATTGTGGAACAATTCCGAGTAAAAACGTTGCATGCCGGGAAAAATGATTTGTTCAGAGAAAATATGGTAGTTATGTTTATTTGCATTTCTTCAAGTCGTGCAGAAATGCGTCATTTTTACTCGAGAATAGCTTTTTTGACGAAACATTTTTCCTGCAAAAATGTTGGGCGTTTCCAAAGCGACCTCAAATAACTGCGGAAATCCATACAGTTGTAAATAATTCACACTTGTTTCGTGCGTAGCTTAACGTTGATGTGCGACTAAATAGATGGAATAGCTTTGATGAATTGAACATATTTTTCAAAAATATTCAGCATTTAGTTTTAATCTTGTAACAGATAATTGTTTTTAATGAAGTTTTTCTGGATATTTTTGGTCTACATTTTTGAAACGCGGACGCGAAATTATCAAGTGAAATTCTCAAAACATGACCTAAGTGGGCATAAAATTGAACTGCGCATACGTTTGCCCATGAAATGTCTCGCCAGTGAAACATGTGTGCTATACCAGTGTTCCCCAACTTTTTTGGACCTATGGACTGGCAAATTTTCATAAAATTTTCTGCGGATGACTGGCATATTTCCATAACATTTTCTTTGGACCGGTAGCGTTCCATAAAAGTTTTGCAGACTAGTTTCAAATACTGTACCTAAAAAGTTTCAAATACCTCTCATAAAGTCCTCCAAACCAACCGTTTATTTTTAAAATCAAGTTAAGAACCATTGAAGCAGCTATAGTGAAGTGTCTTCGACAAATTATAAATCTTAGCTAAAAAAAAAAAGGTTTCCCAGATGGAAAACTGGAAATACTTTATTTCAGCAGGTGGAAATTATTCTGGAGTGTTACTGAGGGAACAGCCAACTTATATTTTAATCAGATAATTTCAACTGCCAATATCTTTCGATACCATCAGATAATAATAAAAGATTTCATTACAACTTGTGATGCATTTATTATGCTGAAAATCTCCTGCGGACTGGCAAAAAACTTCTGCGGACCGGCGCCGGTCCACGGACCACGAGTTGGGGAACACTGTGCCAAACTGTTCATAAAACGTTTTTCAGTCCCATGGGATTTTTCTAATCGGAAATGGGGCCCGAATCCACAAAAAACTTTTTGCAGATCGCGTGATATTCGTTGGTTTATTTTCCTCTTTTTTCCGCATTAATTTTTCTTTTAGTTTTCTTGTCCTTTTCAATGTTATTTTTTATTGAGGTACGTTATATGCTGTGTATGTCAACAGAGTGCCCTGAAAGCACTAAATTGAAATGTCAGTCAATCTAGCGGAAAGTCATCGGGAACTTCTGAGTTCTGGCGCGGAAAGTTTCGACCATTTGCGGTGGATTTCTGACTTCAAACAAAGCCGTGTTCCAATCGATAAGTAAACGAAATTGACTTTTAAAAATCATTCGATGGAGAAAAGGGAGAAGGACGTCAAATGCAGCGAAATGTTAGAAAACTCGTGATCTTTTCTGCCCTTTACTCCTTCTGTTGCCAACAGAAATGATTTAAACTGAAAATAATCAACCCAGAAGAGATTAATATAGTTTTCAGTTAATTTGAATGAACTACTGTACTTCGAGCCAGAATCCAGATTTTATTGATTTTAATCAAATGCTACCAATTTCGGGAAAAATAATATTCAAGAATTTGTGTTAAAGCAACTTGCCTTGAATAATATATGATTCATATTTTAAGGCAACCTTTTACGGACAGAATCATTACGCAAAATCATCAGGAATTTTTCTAATTGAAACATGCTTTTCTAGTTCTGAGACATTGTCTCGAAGAAAATTTTCCAATTAATCATACAGTACTTTCATATTTTATTGCATTTAAGCTGTCTTCAAATTCGTAACCTATGTTTGAGTTATTCTGGGTGAAAATTATTTTGTTCTATTTATCAGAAAAAATGTCAGACTCCAACTTTTCTTCCTTTCAACTGGGGTGAGCAAAGATTGGATCAGTTGTTCAGGATATTATGAAATATCACTCGGAAAATTTCAAGTTTGTCGTGATCGAATTCCACATTACTCCATCAAAAAAGTGGGATATAGTAAGAATGAAGAAACATTCAACTAATCATTTTTCAGTACCTGTACGGCAGGGGGTTTCAATTTTTCGAAACTCTGTTGTTGCCTGAAACGCAAGCAACCTTCAAACTGCCAGAACCAGGTTGACCTTCGATCACGGTTTCCCAGACGATGTTCAGCATGTTTTTTTTTTTCAGCACATCACGTGCTCAGTTAGTTGACAAAAAGGACGCAATCACGTCGATTGGAAAGAATTGTGCCCGATAAGCAATAAGAAGTGTCTGTATTTTCTGCGAAGACGAAATATTTTTAGCCCAAGACCTAATAAGTCGACTGCTGGGATCCCCCCTTTTTGGTGTTGCCGAGTGCTCGCAATTGTTGCCGGGCAAGCGTGATGAACGACCCAATAAGCAATTGTCGCTGGTGCTTTCGGTAAATTAAGTTTGCGTCCTTCTTGATTAAACTAGTTCTCTTCACGTTTGTGTCAGCTTTTATCTGGCTTCTTGAACTATCTTTTGATTACTTTTTTGTAGCTGAGACAGACGAGGATACTTCTAGAAGATGCAAGACCTGTGGAGTGTCCGCGCCAAATTTTCCGAAAGGTTTCTTGTATCAATTTTGCCGAAGGATTTTATTGGGTTGAATGGACGCCGTGATTCTTCTGCGACACTTTAGAAACGTCGACCACCATTTTTT